ATCTATCTATCTATCTATCTATCTATCTATCTATCTATCTATCTATCTATCTATCTATCTATCTATCTATCAAAGTGAAATACCACTCATGTATCATCACAAAATCTCCAGAACCGTAAAGCCTACAAACTTGAAATTTGGCACTATGTTCCTCTTGGCTTCTAGGTGCTCACTAAGAAAGGATTTTTCAAAATGACCACCAGAGTATTAGTATTTCCTAAATTATTATTAACACACTCTGATGCTAAGGAGTTCTACTCCCCCTCCCCACCTGAAAAGAAAGCTGTTCCAAATGCAAAACACAAGCAGAGGAGAGGAGTTTCAGTATCAGTTTTAGTTTTAGTTTCACAGCACCAAGCAGCTTTAGTACAGAACAGGTGAGCTAATCCACGCCCAGGCTCCTTGCTGTCTCCTTCTTGCTCACACAGCAAATACTGTTTCAGTTTCCAAACAGCTCTCAACTGTGTCACACACTGACAGGACGCCAGCCAGATGAATACCGATGGATGCTGGTCGGCAGAGGCAGAATTCCCCCCCCCTTATTTTCCTCCCCCAAAACTAAGCCCAAGCACATAGTTTTGTAGCAAAGCATGGGTATCAAGCTAGTGCACAATATTGTAATATGCTTCAATTTTCCCTGTTGCAGAGGAACCTGTTTTCAAAGTCATAGCAGTGGATAAGGACCAAGAAGGCACTGCAAATTCTGAAGTGGTATTTTGCCTGGTCTCACAAACCCCTGAACTAAAGCCTCTTCTTTTCACCATTGATTCCACTAGTGGCTTAATATACATTACACAATGCTTGGATTATGAGGTACAGTCCTTACAAACAAACTTACAATGATGCTTACCTGAGATCTGTATCTTGGCATGCATACTTTCCAGTAAAACCATCCAATAAAATTTGTCTGTCGCCAGTGCTTGTTGATTCTGTCTTCCAGTCTTGTAGCTGAATTACTAATGTTAATCCATCACCTTAAACCAAATGCTCACCTTAGCTTTTAGGAGTATTGCGAATGAACAGTTTAATGACATGGTAAATTGAAGGAATGTGGATAGAGTTGGTATTTGGAGCCAGGAACTTGGCTAAATTTAACTGCATGTTAGCAAATCACAGTTATGTTGATCTATTTTCTCCTAGCAGACCCAACTTCACAATGTGAGTTGGAAGATAAAATAAGAGGTAAACACCAATGTGTGGCATACAAATCTTCTTGCAAGATAAGAGGCTAAAATGCATATTATTTATACAGATGTTACAAGATAACATTCCAATTTGCCTAACACAACGGGTTCTTCACTGGAGTTTAAACTTATGGCTATAGAATATCATGCAGATACAGAATATATTTCAGAGTGAATGCATGTAACGGATACTTTGATAGATGAATCAAAGCGATTCTTAGCTATTTGACAGAACAGAGACTTTGTGCATTAAACTCTAGCATCTCATGTAGTCTTACTTAATCACAATCTTATATTTTACCACTCTATCATTATTATTCGGAGAACTGCATTTTTAGGGAGGAATTATACAAACCGCACTCTTATTTTATATTTTTTCCAAAGGTTAAGGATAATGTCAAATTTATTTTGGTAAAAAAAATCCTGTTCTTAAACTTTACTGTCATTTAGACCAATAGGAATTTCAGACTTGTGATTAGGGCTTCAGACCGTGGTTCTCCATCCTTATCGTCAACTGCAACAATCAATATTTCCATGGAAGATTCTAACAACAATTTGCCTGTATTCACTCCAGAAAATGTAAGTTGTTTAAGATTACTACTCATCATCATAATCCTTTATGACCCCATAATCCCTTGCGAGGTGGAGTCTTTATATTTTAGATATCAGAGAATTCTTTCTTTGTTTTCCAAGTATTATGCAGATGTCCCAGAAGGTAAAACCAAAGATAATATCCTTCGCCTCAAGGTGGAAGACAAAGATAGTCCTAATACACCTGCTTGGAGAGCTGAGTATACCATAAAGAAAGGAAATGAAAGAGGAAACTTTGCCATTGTGACAGATCCTAAAACTAATGAAGGTGTTTTGAGTGTTATCAAGGTAAGGCAGGCTGACAAACATAGAGATAAGATTTCTAGAGTCACTTCACTATTATATTAACTGTGGGACATGCAATGCCACTCTTCTGGATAATATCCTCTTTGGAAAGGTGCAAGAATAGTCAGAATGTATTAACAGAAACTTTTTTCGTTTTTATTAGCCTTTGGTCTACAGTACACCTTCTGAGAGAAGACTTCTCATTGTTGTGAAGAATGAAGAGTCCTTCTTTATATGCCAGAGAGGCTTTGTGAACACGAATGCTTCTCCACAATTGCCTGAAGTGTCAGTGAGCATTAATATCACTGATGAAAACAATGCCCCTCAGTTCAGTCCTCCAATTCTTAAACTTTCTCAAGAAGAAGGGGTGATGCCAGGAACCAAACTTGTACAATATGAAGCTCAGGATCCAGACACAGGACAGCAGAAAATAAAGTAAGTGTTCATGGCTGGTGTTCCTCTGTCAATGTTGCTGGAGATCTCTTGAAGTAGCTTTCATAAATCTACTCCTTAGCACAAAATCTTCATGATCCTAGTTTTTTTCAATGGCTGAAATTCAAGCACAGAATTAATTTTTCAAGTCGTTTTGCCAAACTTAAGTTACTTTTTGACAGAAGGAGCATCAATCATTATAATCACCATCACTTTTTAAATAAAACATCAAAACAACATGCATTTGGGGGGGAGGGATGTTCAACTTTTCAAAGCAAATCATGTGGACCTAATGATTTACAAGTGGGATGAATTTGCCAATTTCAGCTTGTTAAGTTTATCAGTTTTATATTTGAGTAAGATGAAAGGATCCTTTATAATATCACTAAAATTTTCAGATTTGATTAGGTTAGGAAACATAATATAGTCTATGGTCATGCTGTTGATATTGCTAGAATCCAACTCCCATAATTCTTATCTATGGAAATTCTCAGTTGCTTCTTCCTCTTCTTGTGCCATATCTGTCATTGGATGTTGGTGATCCTATTTTTATCAATAGCTGCACGAAAAAGTGCTGTTGGGTTTTGTCCAAAGCAGTCCCTTAGATTTTGAAGCCATGATGTGCTAAATCTAATCTCAGTTGCTAAAAGAATGCAAATGACCAACTGTATACAAAGGAGTATAAATCCTTCCATTCCCCACCATCCAGTCAGAGCTGAAGAAGCTTCATGGATGAGAAGTGAAATGTGTTTAAAGAAAAACCAGAAAGTCCAGTTGCCTCTTGAAAAACACCTTGGGGTCCCTTAATTTTTGCATGGGAAATTAAATCTCATAATTACACAGTAGACTTGTTCAGAGAAACTTTATTTTTAAGATTAAAAGTTTATTGATCTGTTCTTTACATTCTTTGTTTGCCACTCATGTTTCAAACATTTGCTTTTTAAAAGATATAAAGTAGTGTCAGATCCAGCTGGTTGGGTGACGATCGATGAAAATTCTGGAATTGTGACAGCTGCAAAAACTCTTGACAGAGAATCCCCATTTGTGAACAACAACACGTACACCATTGTGATTCATGCCACTGATGATGGTAAGTCCATTCTCTTTGTTTATTTGTGAGTTCTTGAGTTTGGGCAAGGTAAAGGCTCAGCAAGAATTCGAAGTCATCCCAAAGTCGTCCTAATACAGTTTTGGAACTGGTTTTCTCTATGTGTGTTGTAAAAGTTGTAATGCTAGTATCTTTTTCAGAGGTAGCCTTTTCTAGACATTATACAAGTGTTCCCTAGCCCATAGGAAACATCGCTATATTTGTGATGTTTGCGTTCCTATTTGTAGAAGGTTGGATGTATGTTTCACTATGTAATGCATGTAATAGGTCAAGAAATTTAGGCTATTATTTGGATTTGAATCATTTAATCAGTTCAACTTTTTTTTACGAGGATGGAGGAGTTTATTTTTATTGCTGTTGTTAAAAATAATAGGATGCTTTAAATACCTACAAAGGAAAATATGAACAAAGCGATAAGGGTTTCTTCCATATATTTTAAAGAAGAGAATCTGTCTTAAAATGCTTTTCTGTCATAAACTATTTCTTGAAACTAGTTCAACTCTGGCCACTGAACTGTCCATTTATTTTGAAAGATGCCCGGTTGGGATGATGAATGAGGACTTTAAGTTTAGAACACATAGGATTTCTATATTGATAATAGAGATGGCCTCTCAAAGACAGTGATGTGGAAAGTTTGCTGAGGAGGTCAGATGTCTACCATAATAGTTAAAATCCATCATCACATTCAGTGGTGCATTACATTTTTTCAAAACTACTTTTACCTTCCAGGTTTTGTGTTGGGCTGTGCCTCAAAAGACAGATAAGACCAAAAGAGATAAAAAGAAATGTGAGGAGGAGGCAGAGGAAAAAAAATCTATATATGACATAGTTGGATTTACACTGTTTAATGTATTGATTAAAATGTAAATAATGTCCCCGTTAAGAAGAATTGATGGCAGGTGATGGCAAGTGAACCAAGGCAGTCGTAGAATGGATCCCACTTGATAAAAAGCATCCACAAAAGAGATCTAAAACAAGATGGATCAGTGACATCAGCAAATATTGCAGGTCCAATTGGCAAAAGAAAGCTCAGGACCATATTGGTTGGCAACATGTAGGAGAGACTTTCATCCTGCAGTGGATAAGACAATGGCTAGAATGATGATGATGATGAATGTCTCCCTATATTTGTCTGTTTTCCTCTTGTACTATATCGGGGTGTCAAACTTGATTTCATTGAGGGCCACATCAGCATTGTGTTTGGGGGGGCAGGGGGGGGCATGGCCAGCTTGATGTCACTCGTGTCGGGGGCTCCTTTTCCAGTTGTGATGGCCTCCATACAGCCCTCCCGAGCTCCGTTTTTGCTGGCAGAGGCACCGCGGTCTCTGTTTTTGCTCTGTTTCCAGGGCAGCCCTGTGCAGATCTAAGCACCTGGTAGGCTGCATCCAGCCCCGCCCAGGCGTTGAGTTTGATACCCCTGTACTATATTGTAACTAGGTGGCAACTTACAGCTTCTTCCATAATTTTTGAGAACTGCATGCAAACCAAATTATGTAGTCTAAATTATATAGTTCTGCTTCAATTTGAAGATTCTGTCCCGCTTCTGTATTTTTTTCTTTTTTTAAAAAAAAAATCTAAATATTGTTTTTTTTCTCTCAGGTGTTCCACCATTAACTGGCACAGGTACCATTCAACTTTACCTTTCTGACCTGAATGACAATGCTCCAATGCTAGTTACAACATCCTTGACCATCTGTGAGGGAAATGAAATGGGTCCTTTTCATATAGAAGCTGAGGACAAAGACTCCTATCCATACGCAGAACCTTTTACGTTCCAATTGGAAGATGCCTTAGAGGGTACCGAAAAACTCTGGAGGCTGGGAGAGAGCACTGGTAAATGACTGCTAATTGGGAATTATTGTATCCTTTGATTTCACCTCTTGGCAAGGTTTCTCCTGGGAATGGAGAAGAAGCACTGAAGTCTCAAGGATTGTCAGTCCTTCAAGGAAGGCCTGGTCCAGTGACGGGATTCAAGTTTTTTTTTTTTTTTTTAACTTCTGGTTCTGTGGGCATGGCTTGGTGGGAGCAGCAGGGGAATACTACAAAATCTCCATTCCCTCCCCGCTCCAAGGGGAAGATTCCTGCAAAATCCCCATTCCCTCCCCATCCCACTAACCTGCTTTCTACCTCCATTCTCCTGTGCAGGGCAACCAAAGAAGACCCAGCCAATCAGCTGGGACTCAAGAGGCAGAGAATAGATGGAGGCGGGGCTAGTCAGAGGTGGTATTTGCCGGTTTTCCAAACTACTCAAAATTCCCACTACCATTTCTCCAGAATTGGTCAGAATCTGCTGAATGCCACCTCTGGCCTGGTCAAAAAACAAAAACCACATTCCATAATTGATACTTTTTAAGTCAGCATCCCCTAAACCTTTTGGGTGTCAGGGACTGGTTCCTTGGAGGGCAGGTTTTTCACGGATCAGGGGAGTGTGGTTTCACATGCTACCTGAATCCTGTGTGTACATGGATGACGCCGCTTGCTTACGTGTCCCAGTTGCTGGCAGGCTGCAGATTGGTGCTGGTTCTTGGCTTAGAGATTGTGGATCCCTGGTTAAGCTATAATAAGGGAATCTTGAAAGCCTATTTTGAGTATCTCTGTCTGCCATTTTAGAATAAAACCAAGGTGGAATTATTTTGAGTTTCTTTCTCATGTTTACTTCCATTTCTTGACTGTGTAGTCATTTCTCTAAACCTTTCCTAACAGACCTTTCATATTTCCCCAAGGTGATCTTTAAGTTCCTTCGATCAACTAATCCAATGGTCTTCAAACTTGGCAAGTTTAAGACTTGTGGACTTCAACTTCAATTCCTGAGCTAACATGACTGGAGGAGGAATTCTGAGAGTTGAAGTCCACAAGTCTTAAAGCTGTCAAGTTTGAAGACCCCGAACTAGTTGATTATGTTTCTTCAATCATTTTCAGCTTCTCATGATCATATAGATAGATTTTCACCAGGCAATCTATTCCTTACCTGTTCTTTCCAGTCTCCCCAAAATACCCTCATGACCACTATAACTGAGTTCATTCCCTTTCTTGATGGCCATGCTCTTCTACTTTTCGTTTCCACTTTTTCCAGGATTAGGACCTTCTCCAGAGAACTTGGTCTTCACATATGTTTATAGTTAGTTGATTTGAGCCTGATCTGTTCTCTGCCTCCTGAGTCCCAGCTGATCGGGATCTGGGTCTTCTTTTGTTGCCCTGCACAGGAGAAGGGAGCTGGAAAGCAGGTTAGTGGGGTAGGGAAGGAATGGGGAGTTTACAATAGAATAAAAGAATAGAATAGAATACTTTTATTGGGCAAGAGTGATTGGACACACAAGGAATTTGTCTTGGTGTAAATACTCTCATTATACATAAAGAAAAGATACATTCATCAAGAGTCAAGAATCATCAGGTACAACACTCAATGATAGTCATAGGGTACAATCAACAATCAAATCATACTAGGAAACAGTCAGTATAAATCGTAAGGATACAAGTGACAAAGTTACAGTCCTACAATCACAAGTTGGAGGGGATGGGTGATAAGGAGTGATGAGAAGATTAGCAGTAATAGTAGTGCACACTTTGTAAATAGTTGAACAGTGTTGAGGGAATTATTTTTTCAGCAGAGTGATGGCTTTTGGGAAAAACCTGTCCTTGTCTCTAGTCGTTTTGGTGTGCAATGCTCTATAGTGTTTTTTCTGAGGGAAGGAGTTGAAACAGTTTATGTCCGGGATGTGAGGGGTCTGTAAATATTTTCACAGCCTTCTTTTTGACTCGTGCAGTATACAGGTCCTCGATTGAAGGCAACTAATTGTTTTTTCTGCAGTATCCTTCCCCTGCCACGCCCACCAAGCCACACCCATCAAGGCACACCACACCCACCAAGCCATGCCCACGGAACTTGTAGTATTTTTTTTTGAATGTTTACAACCATTGTGGCATCTCCATGGTCATATGATCAAAATTCATGCACTTGGCAACTGGTTCGTATTCATGAGAGTGTCCTGTAGTGTATATTGGAGGTGGTGACCCTTTGAGAGCTGAATACAATGAAATTTCATTTTAATGTATGCCAATTAGTGTACATTCAAAGTGACAATAAAGTCATTATTCTATTCTATTCTATTCTATTCTATTCTATTCTATTCTATTCTATTCTATTCTATTCTATTCTATTCCACTCCACTCCACTCCATTCCATTCCATGTTATTATTCTATTCTATTCTATTCTATTCTATTCTATTCTATTCTATTCTATTCTATTCTATTCTATTCTATTCTATTCTATTCTATTCCACTCCATTCCATGTTATTATTCTATTCTGTTCTGTTCTGTTCTGTTCTGTCCCGTTCCACTCCGCTCCGCTCCGCTCCAGTCCAGTCCACTCCACTCCACTCCACTCCATTCCATATTATTATTCTATTCCATTCCACTCCACTGCATTCCACTTCACTCCACTCCACTCTACTCCATATTTTCTATCCTATGCTATCCTAGGATATCCATAGGCTATCCTATGGTCATGTTGCATCTTTTGCAACCTTTTGACAAGCAAAGTCAATGTGGAAGCCGGGTTCATTTAACTGTGTTGCTGCAGTGATTTACTTAACAACTGTGGTAAGGAAGGTCATAAAAATGGGGCAAAACTACTTAAATATTTCACTTAGGAACAGAAATCTTGGAGGTCAATTGAAGCTGTAAGTCAAGGACTATCTATAGTAGTGTAATTAACTTAGCAAGGATGTAATAGTTGAAGTTTGGTGTCCATTTCTCTTCCTTATCTCTGTTTTGTAGATAATGCTGTCGAGCTTTTTATCCTGCAAAGACTCCCTCCTGGTGAATACTTTGTGCCATTCCTTATACGAGATTTGCAAGGGTTTTCCAGGCAAGAGACCCTGGATCTCCAGGTCTGCTCCTGTCCTGATGGGGTCACTTGCGAGCAACGTTATTCATTGAAAGCTGTATCACTAAGTCTCAGCGGAGGAGCAGTGGGCATAATTATGGTTGCATTTCTATTACTGTCATGTGAGTAATGTGATGGTTATTGTCTTGTTATGTTGACTTGTGGAAGAGCAATAAACCAAGAATTATGGTTTATTTGTGTGATGTCTAGATAAGCCGCAGTCCCCAAACTTGGCAACTTTAAGACTTGTGGACTTCAACTCCCAGAATTCTCCAGCCAGCATAGCTGAAAGTCTTAAGAGATAAGCCATAGATGAGAGATAAGCCATAGATGATTATTTCCTACTTCATTTAGCTATTCCCACTGTTCGGAGTTATACTAATTGGGAATGATCAATCATCCTCTGCCATCAGATTTAGTACAATTCTTTCAGAAGAATTGTAATTGGTTATGATGTGTACAGTAGACCACATCTTTTATTTAATTATAATTTATTTTCACGCTCTAATTGTGTATACCAACTTTTGTATCCTAGATTGTTCTTAAAATCACTTTATAGTCTGCTTTTGGGTAGTTGAGGAGCTTTACAGAGAGGGGTATTAAAATGTTAAATAAATCTTGGCCAAGTTCACATAATGGTAAAGTGGGAATTTAAAACTGGGTTTTTGAGCAAACAGTAATCACCCTGACTAAGGTTTACACAATTCTAATATAATAGATAAATAGAGTAGTTTGATACCCATGCAAACCAACTTACAATGGCTTCACTCAGGCCTGTATATGGATTGTCATGTGACATAGGGATGAAATTGTGAAGCAAGCCAGTATAAGAAAATGGCTTGTTTCCAGAAGATCAAGATCATTTGAAATATAACTGGGCAAGAATGTTATATACCTCCTCTTTATTATTCTCCTTAGCCTATATTTCTTAAGGATTCTTTTTAGCTGGGAGTATATATAGAACTTTGTGTGGAATATTCTTCTTTCTAGTTTGATATAAATTCCACAGTTGGGTAAAGACAGCTGATTCAATATATTTCCACTTGATTCCCACAACTTCAGTGAAACCATCAGCGCATGGGAAATGCTATCAAGTCATGGTTAATACAATCACTGTAGTTCCAATATTTGTCTCCACATTATAACTAGTATTCCTTTCTTACTGAAGTGTTTGGCCTTCACTTAATTGAGGGTCTGAGTGTAACTGGATATATGAAACACACTAAATCACAATTTGTTTAGTTGGTTTGCTGGCTAAACCACATGTGGCTAGGTCCAACCCTTCTGTTGGGCTATAACCTATGGTTTATAAATCATCATGTTTTGGATTCACCTTATGTCAGGATTCCAGCAATTACCCCCATTTAAATCATGAGTCTTGAGCCAAACTTCCAAAACTTAAAAAGGATTTATTGGGAGTTAAACTCTCCGGCACTGCCTGGGTGTAGCTGACTCTGAGGCACATAATTCATCATCACCCTTGACCCTGGTTTTCACACACACACACACACACACACACACACACACAGGTGTATAGTAATTCATATTCTCCAATGGGACACATTCATAGCCAAGAGTCATCAATCATGCTCTCCAGTTAGAATTTTGCATGGCAGAAACTCAAGTCACCTAGTTACTATCTTTAAAAATATTTATGGAATGCAGTTTTGGTTTGCAAGCTGCTGCATTGCTCCTCTCTCCCTTTCTGTTGGCAACTCTAAAAAGATCATAGAAATATTTTATGAGTTGACACCTTACATGTTAACCAAAAATTAAATAAGTCATATGATAGGAAAGCAAGTTGTATAATTTTAGTCCAAATAGATAAAGAATACAGTTAAATGGCTCTTCAATCCTCTTTTTTGTGGTAATTTTACTTTTCATTGGGCCAGACTGTTGCTTCATGTACTTGGTCTGAAATTTTTGAATTTAGATGTCTGAGAATCATCTATTTTGGTTATGCGGTTGGATGCTTGAGTCAAGCATATGTTATGGGCCTTACTCTGTGCCATGTGAAAGCAGCTATTCTCCTCTTTCTTAGATGCTGTCAGATCCGTGTATGTGCCATTCTTCAATGGAAGAAGAAGGGGGAGTGGGGGGAAGATGGTACAAGTAATCCTGTTGATGTAACTTGAATATATTAAATCTTATATTAAATCTGTGTAACCTACACAAGATATACAACTGGAGGACTGGAGCCAGATGTCCAGGAATTTGTCACCTCTTGAAGAGATAGCAAGCGGAGAAGGGACCATAAAAATTCCAGCTCCGGAAGATATTCCCTGGGAACTCTTCAAAAGATACCTTCTCAGAGAAGGGGAGGGGGGAATTAACATGTTGGTTCTTTGTTTGACAAAATACACATCTAAATAAGGGGAGAGGTCCTAACTCCCCTTATCTGTTACTGCATGCCTGGGAGCCTTTAGGCTTTGCTTTGAATAGTGCTGGAATCACCTCATTTCAATAACGGATTCCTTTTGAAACATCCAGTTTTCAAAAGTTCATTCTTTTCCGTTGAAGGGGAAAAGTCCAATACTTGACAGATGCAACCATTGGCAAAGACTCTCATCCTCAATTTAAAAGTATGCTGTCCCATCTCCTTATGACATAATCTGATCTCCCTTTCTCCTATGGTTCCAAGGATTCTTAGAATTAGCAATCAAAACACTTTAGGACGCTGTTCTGCCTTCTCCCCCTCTATTCCCATAATGCATATTTTATTGTAAGAAAAATAAGAGGAAAAGGCAGGAAAACAAAGGGAAGCGATGGCCCAGGAAAAAAAGTTTTTACAGTAACAGTCCTACTGGGCAGAGATCCAACTAAGATGTGAGCAGGTAATAAGATACTTAAGAAGGGTGTTGAAGAGATGAGGGGTTCCTTAGTGCTCTCTGAGCTGGCTTGTTTTCTTGCAGATGTTTCATTACTCAAACTGAGTGGTGCAGTGGTCTAGAGGTAGAGCTCTCACCTCACAATCAGGAGGCTGTGAGTTCGATCCTAGGTAGAAGCAGATATTTCTCGCTCTGGGTATGCTGAGAATATATCTGGTGAAAAAAACAACAACTCCGCATTGGCAACAGGAAGGGCATCCAGCCAGTAAACACTCAGCTCCATTCAGTTGCCCAGATTTCACCCTGCAAAGGATTGTGGGGTTGTTAAAAGAAGATGATGTTTCATGACTCAAATTAGGTAACATCATTAGTGCTTGTAAGTAGTACGGTTTGCTGTCAGTTTATATTGACAGCAAACCACACTCCTTAATAGCACTGATGATGTTATCTAGCTTGGGTAATGAAATGTCTACAAGAAAACAAGCAAGCTCAGAGAGCACCAAGAACCCCTCATTTCAATCCTGAGCTACAAATGTTGTCCTTTATTGGTGCTGAAGACAGTTGTTGACATTGCTTGTTTACCCTTTCTCTCTATGTAGTGGGCCTGGCGCTCCTATTGTGTTCCTGCATCTCTGAAGAGAAGGGAGCACCTACATTCATTCCATACGGAGCAGGCAACCAATCCCTGATCCACTACAATGAGGAGAGTGAACATGTTTTGGTGAGAAATAATATCATTGACTACTTTCCTTGACATTTTACGGGACTGATCCTAGTTTTCTAGCATAATAAGCCTTGTGCATCGTACTCTAAAGGAGATTTCATTGAGTTCAATGCAATGTAAGTCAAAACAAGTATTAGTATGCCAGATTTTAAAGTTTTGTCGATTGCAGCTATCCCCAAAGCCTTTTTTTTTTTTACTTTATCCATCTGCCTTGTTGTCACTTTTAGAATGTACCTGACTCAGGGAACCAAGGAACAGCATCCTCAGTATATGCAAAAATTGCGAAGGAGAAACCACAAGCTCTTGAGGTAACTGGAATGGAGCATCACCCTTTCTGCAGGTGATCCAGTGCTTACAGAAATTATCCAATAAGGAGTGATGTGCAGCGGCCAGAATGAAATGAGTAACATGATCTCCACTCCAACACTAGTGCCTCCTTCCCACCCTTGTCCGAGGCACCCCTAATCCTGACTTTAAAAATGGATTGATGTGCTTTTGGATAGAAAACATGACTGTGAACATTTTATCACCCAGGATTCATCTGATTTTTTTCCCGCTATTTCTTGAACTGGTCTACAAGCATAGAATATTACTACTGTTTTACCAATTAGAGTGGTTTTGGCCCCAGGCGTAGGTAGTTCTAATCTTTTTGACAGACTCTTGATGAATGTATCTTTCTTTTTCTTTTTAGTTCATTATGATTTTTTTTCATCTATATTTGGCAGGAAATCTAGGGATACATTTTTAAAAGGTTGCAAATCAATTTTAAAAGTACAGCTCTGTTAGTTTCACTGGATTCTTTTTTTTGTAAATATTTTTTTATTTTTATTACGAAAACAAAAAATAAAACCATCTTTCAGTTATACAGTGTGTCATCTGGATACATATATCTTGTGCACATATTAATATTTGTATACATTTCTTACTAAGTTTACATTCACATTGTATCCTATTTAGCATTATTTATCATGATATAACATTATTACGGTATCATTTAATTTCTTACTTTATTTTCCAGCCATCCATAAGTTAAACCCCATGTCTTATAATAATCTATTTCTTCTTGTTCTCTAATTGCCAGTGTTAACCTACTCATTTCTGCACATTCCAGTATTTTCTTAATCACCTCCTCCTGCATCGGAACTTTTTCATTGTTCCAATTTTGAGCAAATACAATTCTAGCTGCTGTTAATGTATGTATAATTAAGTTGTTATTTCTTTACTATAGGTCTCGGGTAAAATCCCCAATAGAAATATCTCAGGCTTTAAGTCTATCTGTTGTTTTATCATCTTTTCCAACCCTACGAATGTATCTTTCTTGATGAATGAAGCTTTTCTTTTTATGTACACTGAGACAGAGGTGGTATTCAGCAGGTTCTGACCAGTTCTGAAGAACCGCTAGTGGAAATTTAGAGTAGTTTGGAGAACCAGGAAATGCCACCTCTGACTGGAGATTTTACAGTATCCTTTCCCTGCCACAACCACCAAGCCACACCCGCAGAACCGGTAGTAATTTTTTTTTTAATTCCACCACTGCACTTGAGAGCATATGCACCAAGACATACATACATACATACATACATACATACATACATACATTCATTCATTCATTCATTCATTCATTCATTCATTCATTCATTCAAAGACATAGTAGTATAGGATCTGAGTCAGATGCTTCAATTCACCTATCATTGGGCACAATTATAACAAAATTAGGATTATTTACCTTCAAACTTTACCCTCAAACTAACCTCTATTGACCTCATCCCATTCCTAAGAGGTCTGTAAGGGGCGCGCATAAGCGCACAATCATGCCTACCATCCCTGTCCTATTGTCCCCAATTATTAGTTACTATTTCATGTATTTAAACTTATGTTTATTCTTATTTCTATTATAAGTGTTTGACTAAACAAACAAACAAACAAACAAACAAATGAATAAATAATTTTGTGTAGAATAATTCCTTTAATCCTGCAGTTGTATCTAAGAAAGGTTTATCCACCAGAACTCCTTTACCCCCCACCACACACACACACCATTTTTTAGCTATGAACAAGAGATAGGACTGTTCAATATCACGCACAATTTCTTTGGCATTTAGCAGTAACAACCATAGAAGTGGCCAGAGAGTGGCAAAAAGGCAAAACTAGGATTGTGCCATCATGATGCAAGACACACCCTTTTGTATTTATATTCGGACATCGCTTATGTGCCTCAAAGTGGTGGAGCTTGTGATGTTGTGGAGAGTCACTGCTTCTAACATTTGCTATGATTAAGAGGTATCATCTGCCTTTCCTCTGACTAGTCAAGACTGAAGGTGAGAAGAAGACAAATGTCATAAGTATTCAGCTGCCAGACAGGACAGACCTAGAGGAGATGGTCTTCAGGGAGATAAATATTTTATTGAGGATTCTTCTAATGATTCTAGATCCTAAAATATCCAAAACATAAAACGTGAGATGTAACTTGATTATTTATAAGTAGCATAGAATAACAGAAGGGACCTTGGAGGTCTTCTAGTCCAACCCCCTGCTTAGGCAGGAAACCCTATACCATTTCAGACAAATAGTTGTTCAATCTCTTCTTTAAAACTTCCTGCGTTGGAGCATTCACAACTTCTGGGGGCAAGTTGTTCCACTGATTAATTGTTCTAACTCTCGGGAATTTCCTCCTTAGTTCTAGGTTTGCTTCTCTCCTTGATTAGTTTCCACCCATGGCTTCTTGTCCTGCCCTCAGGTGCTTTGGAGAATAGCTTGACTCCCCCTTCTTTGTGGCAGCCCCTGAGATATTGCAACACTGGTATCCTGTCACCCCTAGTCCTTCTTTTCATCAAACTAGACATACCCAATTCCAGCAACCGTTCTTCATACGTTCTTCCTATAATAAATTCTGTATTTCCTTTTGTTCTCTAAAGAATGTCTCTGCAGTGATGCAAACGAATCCTATAGAAAACCAACAACGTCCTAATGGAAACGTAACCTCTCCCTCCAACACTATCAAAGCTTGGAATCAGGTTAGATAAATCATGTGAATTGGGATTAGAAATTTATTGGTAGAGGGGGAGGCAATTAATGCTTTTCTGAGTCTTTCTGAACTGCAAGGTAGATGGGAGTGTGTTACAAACAGGAACCAGAGTTGTTAATACCCCTTTGTTCAAAGGTGGAGTAGATTCTTTGTTTCAATAACAGAGTACAGCATAACAGAGTTGGAAGGGACCTTGGAGGTCTTCTAGTCCAAGCCCCTGAAGGAACTTCGTATAGACCCCATATCAGAGGTCTCCAAACTTGGCAACTTTAAGACTTTGTGGAATTCAACTCCTAGAATTCTCCAGCCAGCTGCCAAGTTGGAGCAGATGCTGGAGGTGTTGGACAAGTGACCCAGACAAGTGACAATTGCCCAGTTCTGTATTACACAATTAATGAGATCCTTCCTCTCTCACTGTTTCCAATAGCTTTGGGTGCATTCATTTAGAACAGGTGGCTGGGCATTGATGTGTTTGAAAGCAAAGTGATAAAATGGACAGATGGGTTTTAAGTTGGAGTTGACTGTGACTTTTTTTCTTTCTTTCCGTAGCTGGAGCCTTTGAACCATCAGAACATTAAAACATACAAGATAAATCCACTTGAGAAGATTTCAGAAATAGTAGCTGTTGCCTTGAAACAAGTAAGCCAACTGCAAAGCAAACAGAGGCTTCCTTTTCCCAAATACTTAGAATATAGGGAAAATATAGGATATGTTTTGAGCACGGGCTCAACCACCAGATTTAAGGTTTCCTTGTGGTTTCCCCTGCTCAGTCCAATTACCAGTGATTTCTTTCAGGTTGTGAAAGATAAAAGTAGATATCTATTTTGGAAGTGAATTGCTTCTTTGTCACATGAAGAAAGCTGGGGCTTAGAGGTTAGGATTGCAGCTGCTAGATAGGAAGATTTCTGTAGAATGAACTTCTGTAGAGTTCATTCCTTTCCATCTGCCATTCTCCATATGAAATGCCACTCAGCACCATCCCTGATCCCACTCTTAAAGCATTTTTTTTTCTTTTTATGACCCTTTGTTTTGTGGTGACTGAGTGGAACTGAGTATTTATTGGCCGGATGCCCTTCCCGACACCTATACAGAGTTCACAGCAGATATTTTCTCTTTGTGCTCTGATAGAAAAACATTTGCCACTGCCTAAAACTCTCAGCCTTCTGAGTGGGAGGCAAGTGTCTTTACCTCTTAGGCCACTGTGCTTCTCCCACCCTTAAAGCGATAACCAACTGAGAAGTGGGAAAGCTCCTGGCTGTGACCTCAAACCTTCAGAGTAACTGAAGGGAAACTTCTAATTGGTGTGACCCTAAGTGGCTTGAAGCACAACATTTTCAAGAAAAAACAAACCAGAAAATCCAGTTTCCTTTTGGAAAAATACTTTTGGGACAACCATGAGTGGATGATTGAGAATCTCCATAGATAATTGGTGAGACCATCTTCTCTTCCACAATACCAGCTACCCCCTACCCTTTAAAATATTCTCTTCCCCAGAGGTGAGCTAAGGCCCCTCCCCCACTCTTTTGGCCTTCTAAAAAGGTGTTAAAACATGGCTCCGTGGCCTTGTGAGGGGAGCTCAAGGGACCATGCAACCATGGGGCTGGTTGGTGCTCTGAGAGCCCTCGCTTGGCCTAATTAATTTTTAACAGCAATTTATTATTCTAGCCTCCTTCTAAAATTTTTAATCCTAACATTTTAATTTTTAAACCACGTTTTTCTATTTTAACATTTGATTGTATACCGGCAAGAGAGGATTGTATATCCTCTCTGAGGAAGATGGGCAGTTCAGAAATGTGATAAACAAACAAACAAACAAACAAATAAATAATGTTATTCAAATGTTATGTGGCTGGCGCCATTTTTGCCAAAATCAGCAATAGAATCAAGGCTAGTCAGGACGGTTTTCACTCCACAGTGGAAAAAAGTAATTTCCCACCCACTCCCATACTTGCCATCATGAAGTTTTTAAAACTAAAACTACATTCCCATGCTCTATACAGGGAGTCCTCGATTTGTGACCACAATTGGCCCCAAATTTTGTTACGAAGCGAGACAGTTAAGTGAGTTTTGCCTCATTTTATGGCCTTTCTTGCCACAGTTGTTAAGTGAATTACTGCCATTGTTAAGTTAGTAACCCGGGTGCAAAGTGAATCTGGCTTCCCCACTGACTTTGCTGGTCAGAAGGTCACAATCGTCACAAATTCATGCCAGTTGCCAAGCATCTGAATTTTAATCATGTGACCATGGGGATGCTGCAATTATTATAAGTGCAAAAAACAGTCATTTTCCATGCCATAGTAACTTCAAACAGTCACAAAT